ATACATAATATGTTTCCCATAATATATGCATAGAGACTCTTGGAATAAGCAATAAAAGAGCTCTAGTAGAATTTTAGAATTTTTGACATAACTCCCTTAGAGCATCTCCAATGCCTGGGGGTGAATTATTGTTGATGAGCAATAATCTATGTTTGATCTATTTAGTGTGTGGTCAAACATTTATAAATTGAGAAGGTCTAGTCATATTTAACTCCAATGCAAGGAGTGAAGATGCACATTTAAAAAGGGAAAGAAATACAAAGAAGTGGTTAGCAATGCATCAAGGCCCACAACCATTAGTTAACTTTTTGGAGGGGGGCGGTACACAAGGTTCCCGTTAAGACCTTATATAAGACCTTATATTTTGTCAACTCGGTTGGACTAGACCTACATATTTTTGCACTGGAGATGTCGATTTTAGTGAAGATGGTACATTCAATGATGTGGAAGTGCAATGGATCATTGCATTGGAGATGCCTTAGTCTCTTATTTAAATGAATTACTTTTTTTAATCTTTCCCTCGCGGGTACTTGTTCTCTATCGGACTCTCGCCTATATTTAGCCTTGGACGGAATTCACCACCCGATTTGGGCTGTATTTAAATGAATTACTAATTCACCAATAGTTTAAATGACAAAAGATTACGTCAAATCTAATATGTAATAACTATATACACTGTACACAGGGCATGTCCTGCTCATTGCCGGGCGAATGGACGATATACTATATTGAGCTTGTACCCAAGATAAACGGCAAATTGTAAATATTTCAAATATGAATTATAACAAAAATATTCAGTAAAGGTCATAAAATAAAGGCAAAATTACTTTAATATTATGTAAATTACATATTTGGGTAAAAGTAAGAACACAAGTAATACATAAAAAGAAAAATATTACATTGAATGTTTCTCACAGAATAATGTGAAACAAAATCAGAAATAATATAATAATCGCTTAAAGGGAATAAAAAATCATTAAAAGCTAAAGAGATATGAAAATTGAAGAGACATGCCTTTTATTGATTCAACAACAATTGCATTGCTTTAGAAATACAACTGGTCAACTCAAAATAAATGTATATTCTTTTTTAAAACTTGACTTGATTTAAGTCTTTTTACTTATGTTCGATTTTTTTTCTTTCAAAATGTCAACAAAAATTAAATATTAGGCCTAATTAATTGAGTTTAAAATGAAAAAAGAAGTCTACTCACACTATATATGCAAAAAAAATGGGCCTATTTTTTCTGTATTTTTTCGGGTCTAGGGCGGTCACCAATGTTGAAGCTAAAGAGATATGAAAAAAGAAGAGACGTGTCTTTTATTGATTCAACAACAATTGTGTTGCATAAAAAACTACAACTGGTCCTACTCAAAATTAATGTATATTCTTTTATTAAACTTGACTTGATTTTAATCTTTTTACTTATGTTATATTGTTTTTTTTATAAAAAAAATAAACATTAGACCTAATTAATTGAATGAGAAAAGGGTCAGATAGGCCCCTCGAACTTACATAAAAGGGTCAAATAAGCCCTTATATAGGAGGCTCTGTCCGACTGTCACCATTTGTGGTGGTTCCCGGTGGAATTTTTTGAGCATTTTATTCATTAAGTCTAGTTTACTCATACCAAATTTCAGCTAAAACTTCAATCGGGAAGGCATTCAAATGAATTCTTGAAGATAACTGCTGATTAAAGTCGCAGTTATCTTCAAGAATCATTTGAATGCCTTCCCGATTGAATTGTTAGCTGAACTTTAGTATGAGTAAACTAGATTTAAAGAATAAAATGCACCAAAAATTTCATCAAAAAATTCCACGGGAACTGCCCCAATGGTGACGGCCGAACAGAGCCTTCTATATAAGTAAGAGCTTATTTGACCTTTTTATGTAAGTTCGATGACCTATTTGACCCTTTTTCCTTTCCTTAATTGAACATTAGACATAATGAATTGAACTTTAATATAAAAAGAAGCCTACTCACACTATATATGCAAAAAAGTGGGCCTATTTTTTTCGGATCTAGGGCGCGCGGTCACCAATGTTGCCCCCCGCCTCCCTCAGGACAAGCAATGACTTTACAATAATTCACGGAATACTGCTGATGGTAGGGGGTGGGCATGGTTCGGGACGGAATGGGACTTGGCGTGTCCTGGTAAATTCCAAAAAAAATGTAGTGAAAAAATTGCAATCGCAAAAACAAGAAAAAGCTATTTTAAAATTAAAAAAAACTATAGCTAATCTAGAAAATTGTGAGAAAAAAATGCAACTTACCATATTAGCTGCATGAAACAAAAGTTGCAACAAAAAAACTCTAACACAAAAATCTATCAAGAAATCTGTAAAAAATGATAAAAGAATACTATACGAAGTGAAGCCTGTGGGAGTTAAAATCGTTTTTTTTTTTAAATAGATGATAGTTTGTAGTATGTGATACTAGGCACTTTAGAGTAACCAAGCATTCCAGCCCAGGTGGTTGTGAGGTTATTGTGCCTAGTGAGAGGTCTCGAGTTCGAAACATGCTAGGCACATAAGGGTTAGAAACTCAATGGAGTGAGTTTTAGCTCTGATTACTCCAGACCCTTCCCCAGACCTCCTGGTGTAAAAAAAAACTAGGCACTTTAGAGTTTTCAGGTGTTTTATTGTTAAATAACTACTACGTAGTATTTGAATAATCATTTGTATTTTGATTGTGAAAAAAGGATAATTGTTATTATTTGGATTACATAATGAGTTGTGTGTAGACTCACTAACCTACTAGGCTACTACAAAGTTCAATTTTGGATTCTAAACAACGGGACGGAAATGAATATATTTTACTTATCCTGGTCCCATTTTGTTTTGGAATGGTTCGGGACCGGTACGAGACAGAAATAATGTGTCCTAAATATAACGGGACAACTTCAGAACGGAACCAGAACATTCCGGAACGGACCAACGGGACCGGGTCTTTTGCCCACCCCTAGCTAAGGTATGTAAAGACAAAAACTGAATTGAGAGTTTAGAAAGAGAAAATATACGATAACAAATAATGTTCGAACAATACATCTAGGGGTGGTTCGGTACGGTATACCGAATATTTTATCGCATACCTTTATCATATCGTAAACTTTCGGTATGCAAAAATACATACCCTTACCATACCGAAATTTCGGTATACCTTGTTTCGGTATACCGAAATTTCGGTATGGTAAGGTACGGTATCGGTAAATTATCATGATTTAATATAACAAATTATTATATGTCAAATGAAATAAAGAAAATAAATGTTAATAGTGATATACTAAAATCATTAACGAATTTAATTATAAAATACCAATGAGATAACCTATTTTTGTTCTATTCAACTTTGAATAAAAAATATTATAAAAATGTATAGATATTTCAACACATGATATATGAAGATAACAACACATTCTGCTAAAATAATTTAAACAATATAAATATATTTAAAATAACACCGATCTTCAATAAAAAGTACAAATAATTCAAGAAACGTGGATATAAAGTGATTTATCCTCGAATTAGTGTTGTGTTTCTAGTTATTTTTATAAGTTTAAGGAAAATATTGGCTTGGAATTACGGTATGACGGTATACCGGTATACCGTTTATTTCCAAAATATATACCGATACCATACTGAAGTAATTCGATACGGTATCATACCGTACCAAAAGTGTCGGTATACCTAACATTGCGGTAAATTCGGTGTTTTTCGATATGGTAAGCCCGGTATACCGAAGTTTCGGTATTTTCCCCACCCCTAAATACATCTACCCAATGATGTTAAAGATGTTTAAAGGGAAGAGATTTAGAGGCTCGAATGATTTAGAGGGGGGGGCGGGGAGCACCCCCTATTGATCCCTTCGAATCACGAAGAACTAGCTTTTTTACGGAGTAGTATATATAGTACTTTGTATGTACTCGCTCCGCTCCATTATGTCTGTCTTACATTTCTTTTTTTATGATCCCAAATTGAATGTCATGTTTCATTTTTCGGTAGAAAATTCGTGGTCAATATCTTTCACTTTATTCTATCAAAATTTCAATCATAAATTTTACTTTTCGATCACTTTATTAATAGTCCCAAACTAAAAATAAGACAACCATTATGAACAGAGATAGTAGTATTTTGTGATTTTTTATTTCTACCATGATGCAAATACTGAAAATTTCCTCACTTAGCTCATAGAAAAATTTGAATTACCTTATAATATAATTCAAATGAAGTTTATATTAATTTATGTCCTTTTTCTATGAATATTAATAAATTAAACTTCAAAGACAAAAATGTGACTTATTTTTTTTAAAAAAGTGATATACTTAGTGAATAGTTCCCATTGATTCATCATTCACGAGTGACTTATTAGTCTCAAATAAATTACTGTGATTCTTGTCCAGTTATTTATATAAAATGACTAGTTATATTTTTTGTCCAAATACATAACCAGTCATATTTTTGTCCGGGAAAACTCTGATAGTAATGTAAATATCATTTTTTCTTTAATTATCTAATTCTAAAATTTAAAAACTCCATTCATCCCATTTTATCTGTCCTACTTTCCTGTTTTGATTGTCCCAAAATAAGTGTCTCATTTCCTTTTTTGGAAAAAATATGTGGCCTACACCATTTCACTTTATTATGCCTCAAACATCAACCACAACTTTTATTTTTTCAGTCATTTCATTAATAATTGTGTCAAGTCAAACTAAGACATATAAAATGAGACGGATGTAGTAATATTCTATCCCGTACAAAAGTGCTGCTCAATGACTTAGGGAGTGTTTGCGATTGCTTGTGCTTTTTAAAAGTGATTTTTTTAAGAGATTATTGGAAAAGTGATTTATAGTAAAAGTAGGTAGTGTTTGTGAATAAAAGTGATTTTAGTTAAAATGTAAAAGTTGAAGTATTTGATAAAAAAGTGATTGTGATGTAATATTTTTCTCAAAAGTACAAAAATATCCCTTCCTAACATCTCCCACATCTTCATCTTCTTCCTCAGTACATCCGGATGAATTGAGGAGCTCAAGAGCTCTCTGGCACAGTTGGAGCATCGTCACCACTCACCAGGGTCTTTCTCTTCACCATCTCCAAGTCGGGAGTTCCCTTAGGCAGATGGCGCCCTGAGGCCTGCGGCTGAATCCCCGGATCCAGTGGCGTAGACTGGGGACGAAACTCTTGGGATTTGACGGTGAAGGTTGGCGATAGAACTCAGTTGTGCTGGTGCCCGGTATCACACCATCTGGTGGGCTGTGACGTTAGCATCAGTTTGGCAAAGCTCCAGACTATTCACTCGACGGCAAAGCTCCAGACAAATGGATCGTCTTTATTTGAGGGTATTTTGGGGGTTCAGAGATTTTGTTCCTATTATTATTATCCATAAAGTTTCAGTTAATTACAAGTATACCTAGAAGCAGTTAGAAGCTGGTATACTCCAGCATCTAACTTTTAACTTTAAAGCACTTTTTTTAATTAGAAGTTGGGATTTGCAAACACAATTTTTAGCTTTTTTTAATCTAAAAGCTTAGAAGCACTTATTTAAAGCAATAGCAAACACTGCTTTATCATTTAAATAAATCGGCCAAAATGTTAAATGCTTAATAATATTGGGCCATAAACGTTATAGTAAAAAAGGTAGGGTGTTAAAAACAAAAAGAAGTTAGGCAAAACATTATACTCCATAAACTACTTGAATAGCAGATAACGCTTTCATAAGCCTGGAACGAGAGTTCGAGAGGCGAGACTCATTTGCTATGCAGCGGCCAGCGATTGTTCATCTCTTTTGATTCTCTTCCACTAAGTTCTTACTATTTTGCAATCAAATGAGGAACAGAGCAGTCACCACACAAGCTACCAAAAAAAGGTAAATCTAAATGGTATAATCTCCTTTAATGCTGATTAGCTCACTCTCATTCAGCCAGACTTGCTTTAATACTTGTTTTACTTCATTAGTTCATTGAATCGCTGCTTGCTTACTCCTGCCATCAAAAATCAAAATCAAAGGGGAAAACTCCAGGTTGCTTGCTCCCTTGCTTCAGTCTGAGCCTTGGCACTTTGGCAGGTTTGTCATAGATTCTGTTATACTTTTTTTATTTATTAAAATCGTTAATTTATGAAATTATTGGTGTCGGTATATATACTTCTGCTTGAATTAAGGAATTTATGGATCAGGACTTCAGAACTAGATAAATATCCTTCCGGGTCTGAAAGATAAATGTGTCCACATAGGATTGGAGTTTTAAAAGTATCAACTAAATCAAGCAGACTTTTATTCTGTACATTCTATTCTCACTATAAATACGTTTCAACTAAAGTAACTGGTTTACCATAAGAGTTTTTCCTAAAATATTATTAATACAAAAGTCATGGACAAAAATGTGACTTGGTAACCTATAGTTACTATAACTGTGTTCAAAGTTTACATCATGGTCACTTCATCACAGGAACTTTGAACATAATTATAGTAACTAAGAGTTACCAAGTCTGTCTGTAACTCTTAAGAGAGTAATATTAGTGGAATTTTATCTTACCATAACTACTGAAAAAACTAACATAAATAATATATACGGAGTATGATTTTTCTATATTTAGGGAGCAAACCAATCTAACAAATTTTAACTCTCCTTACTGTACACACTGGCGAACTAACTCTAAGTCGAAATAGTATTAAAATCTTTCTGTAGTCTATTTTGAAATTTCAGCCCACTTAAACTATATTTTCTAATCTTAATTTTGTATTTTATGTCTCAAAACATACCTTCTGCAAGGTTGTTATCAAAATAATTTACCTCCTATATATATGCCTTCACAGTGAAACAAAAATCAACCATGAGTCAAGTTAATTTTCTAATAAATTTATAATTTAAAATTTGTATGTGAGCATTGCTAATTGTTGTACATTAAAGACAAATTTTAGCTATACAACTAAAGTAATATTTACACTCACCAGAGACAGAAACAGAGCTTACAGCTTCTCTTGCCTGTGGATTTACTTAGTTTAACCATTTCAGCTTCTCTTGCCTGTGGATTTAGTTAGTTTAACCATTTCTTTACACCTTGGGTCATCCGGAAACAGTCTCTCTGTGGCTTAGTACAGGGGTAAGGCTGCGTACATCTGACCCCCTTACCCCACCGTAGGTGGGAGCCTTTTGCGGCAATGGGGTAATGATAATGAATGAACCATTTCTTTAACATTCAATCAAAAGTAGTTCTTTTCCTTAACTTGAAACATCTAAAAATCAACCATTATAGAAAAATTAATTTTTTGTTTGTATAAGTTAATAAAATAATAGGTTTACACATCACTTACACATAAGATGATATTTTTCATATCCATATTGAGTATAAAAAAGAGGATGCGAAGCGGCAGAAGGATTGAGTTTTATTCATTCGGAAAGGGTTTGCTAGGTAGTAGTAGTTTTAAAAAATGAATGATCTTTTCATAAAGAAAATACACATGTCCAGAACAGATTGGCGAGATTTGATTGGTTGAAAATACACCCGTCCCAATGAATAGGCTGGCTAGATTTGATGGGCTGTATTTCTTTCAAATTTAATTATATTTTATGTATATTTTGTACACATTCTCCAAGAAATAGGCTGTAGAGACTTGATAGGGGTTGTTTATAGTGTGTTCATTGATTAACTTTCTTCAACGTTTCTACTGTATATGTTGTCTTTATTTTTTTATTTTAGTTTTTTTGTAATAAAAGTCTCCAATGTAGCTGATACGTTTTTTAGTTAGTATACAATGTAGCTGAGGCTTTTATCTGATGGACTCGCATGCTGCCATGCTGCTCTATTCCATGGGGATGTTTGGGCGGGAATAGCATTCACAAAACATTTAACTTTTATATAATGATAGAATGATAGACAGATTAATATTATGTGCAAATAAAAAAAAGAGATTGTTCATTCTAAAAAGGTTTTATAATTTTATTTAGGGGTTGATCCATGGCACTTTCCAGTTCTCCAGACTGGTGGTCTGTGGCATCACTGGCATGGATTCCTTGCAACTCCTCAAAGGAAATCAGCACCAGCAGAAGAACTCCATTGTGCTCTCTCCCCCGCTTCAACTCCCGAGATCTCAACCTCATTGCAGCAAGATCCTCCACTTGTCCATCCCCGCTTTTTGAAGACAATAATGCATTATCATCCGCCTCCAAGTCCCAACCCACAATAATGGATCTCACTCTCTCCGAATACCAGCCTGAAGATCTGAACAACATTATCTTTAGATTGATAAAAAACCCTCAGACTGCTGAAAGTGGGAGTGATTTTTATGCGAAAGCCAAGGGAAATCCCGGGTTTATCCCTGAAAAATCAACCCTCACTCTTCTTACTAGGTACTTCATGAGATCGAGAAAATGGAGCTCAATCTTTTCATTGGCTCAAGATTTTCGGGCATTCAATGTAATCCCTGATAGTGGCACATTTTGTAGACTGATTAGTAGCTGTGCTAGAGCTAGGAAGTTCAAAATTGTAAATACTTTGCTTGAATCTGCCTTTTTTCTCCAAGAGACACCTCTTGCCTTTGAACATGCCATGAGAGGCTACAACAAACTCCATATGTACAGTACCACTATTCTGTTGTATCAAAGGATGAAAAGTAGTGGGCTTGTTCTGGAGCCTGGGTGCTATTGCACCACCATGGAGGCATATCACAATATGGGACAGTATGAAGAAGTTGTTTCGCTCTTCCAAGAGTTTAAACATGGAAGAAGACTGGAGTCCACACAATATAATTCAAAGATTTACCTTTGTTTATGCAATTCTCTGGGCAAAATGGGGCGCACTTCCGAATCCCTCGACCACTTCAGGGAAATGACAAGCAAAGGAGTTCCAGATGATCATAAGTTTTACTCATCCCTAATATCCGCTTTCGCGACATCCAGAGAAGTAGAAATGGCAGAGGAGCTTTTAGAAGAAGCAGTGAGAAAGAAAATGCTGAGTAGTGATCCCTCTCTGTTTATGAAACTTGTGTTGATGTACATTGACAAGGAGGGAATGCTAGAAAAGGCCCTGTCTGTCATTTCGTTGATGAAACGGTTAAACATTCGGGTTTCCGATTGCATTTCTTGCGCCATTGTGAATGCTTTCTCGAGAAAATTAGGGCCTGAGGAAGCCGTGAGGGTCTTTGAAGAAGAGCTTCAATTTGAGGGGTGTGAGCCTGGCCAGGTGACCTATGCTTTGATTTTAAACATTTACTGCCAAATCAAATTATATTCAAAGGCAGAAGCGGCTTTTGCAGATATGGAGCAAAAGGGGTTTGTTAATTGTAGTGTTTCATACTCTACCATGATCAATATGTATGGGAAAACTGGAAGGCATAGAGAAGCAATGATGATTTTGGCTAAGATGAAAAAGAGAGGATGCAAGCCCAACGTGTGGATATACAATTCTCTCTTGGACATACACAGGAATCCATTGAACTTGAGGCAAGTGGAGAAGACATGGAAAGAGATGGAGAGGCGGGGAGTTTTGCCCGACAGAGTTAGTTACACAAGCATAATAAGTGCATACAACAAGGCCAAGGAGTACCAGAGATGCGTGGAATACTACAATGACTTTAGGAAGCTAAAGAACGGTGATGGGAAGATTGATAGGGCAATGGGTGGGCTAATGGTTGGGGTTTTTTCAAAGATGAATAGAGGTGAGGAGTTGGTTAAAGTGTTGCAGGAGATGAAGAAGGCTGAGGCTGAGTTAGATGAGAGGCTCTACTGGTCGGCTTTAAATGCTCTCAGAGATGCCGGGCTGGAAATTCATGCCAAATGGTTGCAAGATAGCTTTGCTATAATATGATCAATACATCTCAGGTCTCGACATACATCAAATGTGCTTGGATCTATATAAGTTTGTGATATGCAACGTTTTCGGGGTGACATTTTCATCAAATATAACGGTTGACAAATCAGTTCGGTTTAACCTTTGTGATATGCGATGAAGAAGAAAATATGAAAAAGTCACTTAAAATTGTCTTCTACAAGGGAGTCCGTAATAATTTGTAGTGAGTGCACTTATTAAATTTCTAATATGTATTTTTATTTGATTATGACATCACCAACTCATGTGTTGACTTAAACTTTAATTCTACATGTAGATTCATGAATGTATATTTTACTTATTTACATTTACAATAGAGTCAATTCCCTAAATAGGACTAAAAAGTGGCAAAATTGCACAAATAGGACTACATTTTTTAATTCCCTTAATAAGACTATTTATGTGTGTTTAGACAAATATGCTCTTGTAGCTTGTGAAATGTTTTAATTAACAATAAAATCATTAAAAAAAATAAAAAAAAAACGTAAAAAAATAATACAAAAATCAATAAACTATTATTAAAAAATAGTTTTTTTTTTTTAAATTAAAAAATTAAAAAAAATCGTAAAAAAAAAAACATTGCCACCCCTGCCACCCCAGCACCACCAGATCCCATCATCGGAGAAAAATATGCCAACATTTTGAATAATGCCATAATAATGGCATATTCAATGAAAATGTTGGCATATTGAAATGTAATTATGCCATCTTTTTGGCATTTTCAGAAAAAGATGACATTTTTTACCAAATGTGGAAGAAATTTCACCAATCGGAGGTGGTGGTGCTGGGAGGCGGTGGAAAAGGTATCCATAATTTTTTGGAAAAATTGACAAGAATAATCCCACCTTTCACTGGTCTTCTCATAATAATCCCACCTTTAAATAATCCCAAAATAATCTCACTTTTGAACCTCATCTTCTTTCATTGGACCCTGACCAAGTTTTTTATCTTTTTTAAAAATATTATATAAATAATCTCACATTTATAAGAATATAATTAAAAAGTGAAAGGTGAGATTATCTGTATAATTTTCAAAGAAAGAGTAAAAAACATGGTCAGGGTCCAATGAAAGAAGATGAGGTGCAAAGGTGAGATTATTTTGGGATTATTAAAAGGTGGGATTATTATGAAAATACTAGTGAAAGGTGGGATTATTCTTGTCAATTTTTCCTATTTTTTTTTTAATTTTTTATGGGTTTTTACTATTTTTATTATTTAAAAAAAATAATATAAAAATAAATTTTTTTACTCCGTATTTAAATTCAATTTTTTTACTATTTTATAAATATTTTAATAATTTTTTTATAATTTTTTATGATTTTTTTATGATTTTTAAATATTTTTTACGATTTTTTATGATTTTATTATGAATAAAAGCATTTCATTATGAACTAATACCCTTAGGGATATTTAGGGTAGAAAATCAATATTTCGTCCTATTTAGGGAATTTAAAAAGTAGTAGTCCTATTTGTGCTTTTCAAGAACTCATTAGTCCTATTTAGGACAATTTCCGTTTACAATAACTACATATTACAACCCATGCAACACATGGGTCGAATATACTAGTGCATAATAATAACAATTACAATTAAATATTCCTTTAACACCATTTTAGACTTTTAGTAATTCACAACACTTATTTACAAAATGTTTTAAGAACCATCCAAATTAACACGTAAGCTGTAATTTTCAATAAATCTACAACAAATTAGTTACTAGACCTTGCTTTTACGCTTGGTCAATCAAAGAAATTAACATGCAGGCTGGAAAAATATTAATGCACCTAAGAAAGAGCAATTTGCATCAAAGTTGTTGTATGAGTCTATGACGCCTTCTCCACCACCTTTAAACTGAAGCGGAATATAAGAACCCAAAGAGTAGTTTTCGAACCCGCCGTTTACCGAATTGGCTAAAGTTATGATTCAAACAGTTGAATCCGCATAAATATGGAAAAAAATATGTTAAGAAAATTTACCCAAATTGTTTAATATGGGACCAAAACATACACAAAATTAAAAAATAGGACTAAGTATGTTTTATTCCTGAAATAGGACCTATTTGATCCTATTATAAGAATAAGTTGATTAAAACTTATCAAAATAGGAGTGAATGGGTCCTATTTTGAGAATAAAACAATGATAGTCCTATTTATGAGTGTTAACATTGTTTTAGTTCTATTTGGAGAATTTGTAAAAAAAAAACACATTTACAATTCAAAAATAAATATGGAAAAGGCTAAAGTTGCTTTCTTCATCAACTTTAAATTTACTTATTTTTTTATTACACAATTTAGCATAGAAAATCAATTTAATTTTTGTAAAGAAACTAGTTGATAAGCTGATCAGAAGAAGATAGGGGTTAGGACTTTAGACATTTCTTAATTCGTATAAATAAGCATGGTATCTTGTTCGAATATATATAAGTTGATAAAAGGAATATTTTAACTGATCACTATAAAACTATGTTTGATGAAAATCGGTAATTCGACTTTTTCATGTTATTATCCACAAACAATGAGTCTCAGATGGCGAGGCAATAAATGATCGACAGTGAGGATAAAGGGAGAGGGGGACCAAAATGTGAGAAAAAATCAGTGGATGAATCTTGCCTTCAAGAGCCCTACATTATGAACCATACGCATTACTTAAGAAAAACATGATGTGTGTCGTAGATTTGTAGGGTAATTGAATTTGACTCTATTACTATTTATGTTCATGGAATTTGATCCCAGTTCGATCTATATTCACTGAATCTGGTTCAGTTCTATCTAGTTTAATCTGGATGATTAAAATTCCAATTTAGTTCGACAATTTACATTTCATTTAGAAGGCAAAAGTTGTTATACACTCTATAGTACTTAAAATACCTCTTGAATAATGATTATTATAAAATAAGTACATTTCGTTAAAAGATGAAATAATATTTAGCCGAGTCGTTATTAACTTATTTTACACGCTACAAAAACATTTCCGTACAGTTTATGCAGTTTTTTTTAACGAATTGCCTATACATACACATATGTATCCAGGCAATTAGAGGTAGACGTGTATAAAAACATACTCCGGTATAAACTAGTGTCTATAAACAGAAAACTCCTTAGCTGACTACTGACTAGCCCTTAGCATACAATCTCAATGTCTCACTTCACCTCAGGATTGCAAAAACATCAATTTGCTATTTGAAATTTGCAAATGCATTGGTGTTTTGATCTCGGGTATTTTTATAAATAAACAATCTAAGATGACATTGTTGAGATTACATTTTCAATAATATAAAAGAAAAAACGTAGATAGCATTGAAATGAATTGTGCCACTATAAGCGCACTTTAAAATAATTTTTACTTCTCCAGCTCTAAAATGAAGTCCTTATTTGTATTTATAATACTTTTGATAACACATAAATCGATTGAATCGGTTGATTCTGCTGAAATTTATGAAGTTTTGGATGAAGCGGCTGTATAGACTAATTCTGCTTATTTATGGGGGGGAATACTTAAAATATATTTTATTAATAAAATAAAGACTTCAGCCAGGAAAAACAGGTAAAATGGTCATCTACAGCAATTTCAGCCAATACAGTAAAAAAAAATAACTTCAACCTTATTTTTTTCTTATTATTACACAATTCAGCGCGCGAAATCAAAAGTTACGTGTTTGGTGAAAAAGTTGACTAATAAGTCTGATAAGCCGAAAAACAGAGCTACCAAAAGATCTCTTTATTGAAGATAAAGAAAACTCTTTCCTCATAATACCTAAATTAGTACCAAAAATATAAATTCACATATTTAAGAAGTACATTAAAGTAACATTAAGCCATAAAATCAAATACGAACACCCAAAAGAGAAGTTTTGACACAAAGAGCGTGTTTGGTAATTCTCAAATTGTTTGAATCAGCCAATTCTGCTGAAATTTATGAAGTTCTGACTAAAGTGGCTAGATTGATTGATTCGGGTTAATTATGAAATAAATTATATTTAAAGTAATTTTATTAATAAAATATAACAAAATCATGTGAAAATAACTAAAATGATCTTCTACAGTAACTTCGGCTAATGTAGTCATAAAAGTAAATTAAACCTTACTTATTTTTATTATTACACAAGTCAGCGTGTGAAATAAAAAATTACGTATTCCGTGAAAAGTACGGACTAGACAGTAAAAAATTAAGTGTTTGACATGTACATAGTATCCGGCAAGGAAACGTGAAAAAATTAGTTGACACGATGTATGAGACACATGAACACAAAATGGTACATTTATGACATGTATCCCTCATAAATGTCAAAGTTTATGACATTGTAAAGAGAAAACATATCCGGACTAGCAGATCAGTTGAGTAGTGAGAAAGTTGGAACATTGATCAAGGATCGAAAAATTTGCAACGGTCGTGTGAAAGTTATAGCTCTTGTGTGCTGGATCTCTGGTGCACACGGGTACAAGATTTACTACCATTGAACTGACAGAGTCACTGAGTCACCATAACTTACAACCTCACAAATGTCTTCGGTGGTTGGGGTTTGGGGGGCCTTGTGATTAGGGATTCTACATTTTGGAACATTATAAAGAAAAACATACCAAAAATATATAAGACCATTCAAATAAGGGGATAAATTTCAACTAATTATTTTTATGTGTTTATCTCTATCTTGACAGGAATGCTTCTTTTATGTATGGCATTGGAAATGCTCTTACCCCCACTTAGAGTATGTTTGGCACAAGTGCACAACTAACTGAAAAGATACTTTATAAGCTTTTTAATAATTGTTAGCTTGTAGTGATTGAAAGATCTTAAAAGGAAAAGGTTATTTCTATTTGTTAAAATCTGATTGTTTGATTCAGTTCTATTTGGTATAGCAAGCTGTTGTGAATAATTAATGTTAAAAGCTACTGACTTTCTTCCAAATATTACCCACTGTAGCATCTCAAAAAAGTTTTTATATATTATAAAAAACTATTAAAATTCGTCATACCAAACATACAATTAGAAGTATTTAGAGAATTTTTAAATAGTACAAAAATTAGAAGACGGAGGCTTATGACTTTCAAACATGCACTTAGGATGTTTTCTTTTGGACTGAATTTTGCTGCTCTGGTCTGTTTAAGTCTGGTCTGGTCTGGCAAACGTCTGGTCTCTGTGTATTTTATAACTAAGAAATTCTGATCTGATCTGGTCTGTTTAAGTCTGGTCTGGTTTGGTCTGTTTAAGTCTGGTCTGGGACTGAAAACAGTCCAAAAGAAAACATCCGTAGAAAAACTTCTTTCTGCTACTAATTTTAAATACAAAAATATCAACCTGCAACATATTTGGAAAATATGTTCACTTTATT